TCGACACGAACAGTAAGTGAATTGAATAAGCCCAATTTTCGTCAACAAATTCGCAAAATATGATAAATGCAATGGAGGATGGGTTGCCTTATATACAACTTACCTGATGTCGCCCATTATTGATTACGATAAAAATTAGCCTGAATTCTGAATATTTTAGACGATGGATTTCTGTCACCGACAGAACTTGCCGAGTACGACAAGTCATCGATGGCGAGAGTGGAAGGGATGTATAACGACTACCTGGCTAACAGTTTCACAGTAAGTTTTACTTTATAATGGCAAAATTACGCTATAGTAGAAGTGTATCCTGTTATTCTAAATTATTAAATTGGCGCGTTTCACGTCTCTCTATCATGATTTGAAGAAAGGCCGGAAGATCCTAAAATGTTTGAAAAAAAACTTCCTCATCACACATGTCTTGAAGCACACCAGTGCTTATGAAAAAAGTAATGAAGCCAAAGATTTGTGTTTAGCTCAAAGATTTTATTCATACATACTTTTAACAACTTATGTCTGTTCTATTAGATGCATTTTACAATTCCCACCTATTTTCTTGAGGAAGCTGACATCAATGATGACCACTATGTTTCCTACAAAGAAGGAGTAGACTACGCCGAAAATGTGCTGAAAGTTCACGCGGATGACAACTGGGATCGTCTTTTCCACGAAAAAGACTTCAACAGTGATGGCAAACTCAGCAAAAAAGGTGAGCTGTAGCCGGATCAAAGCAAGATCGTTTCTCTTTTTGTCCAATAAAATTCACAGAAGCCTTCTCATGCTTTTTAGAATGTTTGCATAATTCTACAATGCCACCTGAGTCCACTTTTTTTCTGATAGGAACAGTTTATTCAAACTTTGTTGACTAAGTTCTGACTCATCTCACTTGAGAAGAATATCAGCAGAGCCGCTGAGTAAACTGAGCAAAGTGTCTACAGAGGGCGTGGCTTTTCGCCATGAATAGCTACTGTTCGTGACACTTTTTGATTGAGCGATCGGTTATCAGTCAACAAATGGAACAATATCATCTCGCTTTAGGTAGCATATTCCAAAAAAAACATTTTGAGTGCGGCTACATCTTCAAATTTTCACAAAAA